TAAGGCTAATAAGTATAAAAGTAATAGATATAATTATAAAAGAAAGTAATTAAGCTTTTAACAGATTATTATCTTTATCTAGTTAACAGTTAGCCTGCATCTGCAGTGTATATGCTGTTCCCTAGATTAACAACTTAGACAGTGGATTATAAACCTTAAAGCTATAGTAAGTGTTAATAACTAATTTAAATAAGAACATGCGCATAACTAATATAATACATCCTTAAAGCTACTAAGAAACTTAAGCATATAAAACCTGTAGCTAGCAGAGTATAATTACGCTGCTACAGAAGCAGAGACATAAAATGTTCTAAAAACAACGCAGTTTAATGCTGTTACAAAGGACTTTTTAACTACTATAAATAAAGTTGCCTCTTATTAGTTTATAACCTTTTAAGAAAGTAGACAGTTTACACTAAACATAAATTAAAAAAAATAATAAAGCGCTTTTAAAAACACATAATATTAAATTATCTAATACATATAAAAAAGCATAAAGCTGCTTTTATAATAGATAACTTATTATACCTTACAAAAAGTAAAAAGACTACCTAGGGCATAAATAAGAACGCCTATAGTGCAGAAGTTACAACATTAAGAAAATAAAGTAGACTTTAACATTAATATTATTAAAAAGATAATAGAAAGTTATCTTTAAGCTAAAAACTTACTAAAATAAAAGGCACTAAATATTCTACATGTAGACACATCTATGCACTAAAAAACTACTTCTATGTTTATCTAGACAAAGCACTAGACTAGTAAATGCTAAATAAGAAAGTTAAAAAGCTTATAGCATTAAAGCATAAGCACAACTTAGAATTTTAAGGCCTACTAAGAGAGCAGTGTAGATATAATTTAAAAATACTAATTCTAAAAAGTTTACATATACTTACACTAGAGATATAAGAAGACTAACTTAAAAGCTAGAAAGTATTAAGAGTTAAGGCAGCTACATTACTAGCTATAGTTAATTTAAACTAAAATAAATATCTACTAAAAGAATTATTTATCTTTAACTTAGGCTTAACATACTACATTATAAATAATTTTAATTAGATTTATAACTATTATTTACTAACACTAAAAAACTTTATCTAGTCTAAAAACTCTTATATATAGATTTAAAGCTATAGATTAATTACACTAAGCCTAAAAAGTAAGCATAAAACACATAGTTAAGCATACAGTCTTGTACTACATAACGCTGCACTGTGCCTAGACCTGCTGTGCAACCTAGTCTTGTTCTACCTACTGCAACAGAAAAGAATTTAGTAGGACACATAAGTAGAGCTAACTGCTTTAAAGGCCTTAAATAAGATAATAATTAAAAATCTTATAAAGATTTATAGCTAATAAGTGTTAAAGTACTATCTACTATAAAAGAGCTTATATTATACACACATAATTAACATAAGAACTAAATGTAGTCTATAAAAAGTATTAGTAAAGCTATAGCATAAGCGTCTAGGACACTCTAGACTAGCTACACTTTAACACCTTATATAGCAAGCTAAGGGGGTGTAAATTAAAGAAATTATAACAGTCTAATATAACTTATATAGCAAAGCTAAGATATAATAATAAATTAGCTGCGCACTATAAATTAGTAACAGTAGACCTAGTAAAAGACTGTTAATTAATTTCTATACATATAAAGCATAAAGCATTATAAAAGAGCAAAGTTAAATGCTAATTACTAATAAGTATTTTAGCCTTTAGTAAAACCTTTACTTTAAAGATAATAGGCTTACTAAATTAATTATTAAAGCTTTTATAATCTTTATCCTCTTTTTAAAGAACTATTATAACATTACTGTAAAAGTTATTAAAGCTAATAATAAGATTATAATAGTAAAACTAGAGGTAAAATGCTAGCTAGCATTGCATAAAATAACTGTTAAGCCTTTAGCACTAGATACACAAGCCTAGAACAGAGAAGCTAAACGCTTAGGGGGTGTAAATAAGAAGAAATTATAAGCTATACAACTAGATGCTAACCTACTATAGAATGTATAGCTATACATCACTAGAGCCAGCGTATACCTATACAATTAGACGCTAAACTATGCTAATAACTAGAAAACACTATATAAGATCTTCTTTACATAAGTAGCTCTAAATAATAAAGTTATTATGTTAATTTAAAAGCTAAGCTTTATACATCTAAAAGCTTATAACTGTAAAGCATTTATAATAACTAATAACACACATTAAAATAAATCTAAGCTATAAAGGCTAGACCTAAAGGCGTAGATTAAATATCTAGTTAGGTACTAATTATTAAACATTTACTATATATAGATACTACTACTAGTAAAAGTAATTTATACATATAACATTATTTTTAATAAACACTTAATCTTTAGTAGTAAGCTTAAAGACCTAATAAATAACTTTATATATAACATAGTAAAAGAAATTACTATATATATTAAAATAATTAAGCTTCTAACACCTAGTTATTAGCTAAAGATAAAGTTATTTTATAAAAACAACACTATAAATAATATATTAAATTTTAATAAAGTAGACCTACTAGGCTACTATTAAGAAAAGAAGATTAGAGATAACTATCTATCTTCTCTAAATACTCTGCTACCTGCAGCATTGCTTATGTAGTTAATAGCTAGAGCAGCACTAAAGCTAAGCTAAATAGGGTTATTAAAGACTATACTATAGGCTGTAGCCTTTATAGCTAGTATAAGATCTAGAAGTGTAGAAAAGTATAGTAGTAAAACACTAAATAAAGCAGTATTAATAAAGATACTATTTAAAAAAAAACACTTTATAGAAGCTAGCTGCTACTTTTACTATTAACTTAAAAGCAACTAGAGGAGCACCTTTTATATAAGATGTTTAAGGCAGCAGAAAGAACGCACCTAGATAGTTATTAGATAATAAAATCCTAGACAGAGGTCTAGACAAAGCTAATTAAGGCAGCTAGACAGCAGATTCTAGATTGTATGTAGGTGTACACCTATAAGCTTAATAAGCACTATAGATTATAAAGATGTAAGGCG